GACTGGAAGCAACGAGGCCGCCATCCCTGGCACCAGGCTGGCACAGACAGGCCCAGCACCCTTCTGCCTTGGATGGATGAGGAAGCCGAGCTCAGAGAAGGTGAGGAACTTGCCCAAGATCACACAGCCAGAACCCAGCCGAGTCCATTGCTCCTCCACATCCTGGCCTTGACATGGCAGGGGACAGGCAGGACCCTGCCTGAGCCTGGGTGGTGGGGGTCTGACGGGAGCCCCCAAGCCTCCCGGACCTGCCTTCACAGCCGTGTGCTTCCACACCAGAGATGGGCAGACGCTAGCAATAAACGTGATCTAGCAGCCAAACATCAGGGCGGTGATAAAGGTATCGATCTAGAACTTTCCACCCATCCCCCTGCCCTCCCTCCACCTCCCCCACCAGTGGAAAGGGAGTCCAAGCCATCAGCACAATCCTGCAGCCCTGGCCCAGGCCCCAGCCCCGGCCTCCCTCTCCTCTCCCAAGCCACCAGGGAGAGAAACAATATTTTTTCCCAGATGCCCTGCGTCCCAGCCGCGCTGCCGTGATTATGCAAACCAGTCATCAGAAGTTTAAAAGCCTGGAACCGCCATATTTCTTTATTTCGTTAGCGGCGCCAGGCACCGGGCTGCAGAGTGGATATGACCAAGGGAGCTTGGCGCCAGCCTCGTGTGAATGGTCCCCATTGTTGCCTGGGTGAGAGGAGGGGTGTGTGTGTGTGTGTGTGTGTGTGTGTGGTCTGGAGACCTTGGGGCGTGTGCAAGTATGAGTCACCCACTGGGTATGTTCACATATGAGTCTGTGTTTGCAGATGTATGTGTGTAAGATATATCATGAAAGCTGGGTGCAGTGGCACAAGCCTGTAATCCCAGCACTTAGGAGGCCAAGGTGGGAGGATTGAGTTTTGAGGCAGTCTGGATTCCAAAGCTTTGTCTTTTGGAAAGAAAGAGGGGAGGAGGAAAGGAGGGAGGGAGAAAGGAGGGCTGTGAACTGTTGAGTTTTAAAGCCAGCCTGGGCAGCGAAGCCTGAGAAATTCCATCTCCCAGCAGCCAGCAAAAAGTCAGACTGAAGGTGTGCTTCAAGTGGTGGAGAACCAGCTGGGAATGAAAAAGCTGAATGAGAGCTCAAGGCCCTGAGTTCAAACCCCGGGTCTGGGAAAAAAAGAAGGGAAGGAAGGAAGGGAGGAGAAATCATAAGGGCTCAGCCAGGCAGACACAGGGTGTTTGAACCTCTCATCTGGAGTTCAGTAGTCTCCAGGAAGAAAACAGGAGGGGAAACTGAGGCCAGGGATGCCCTCCCCAACTTGGGTCCCTGGCCTCTGCCCCTGTGAAGGAGAGAAGGACTCAAGTCCTGGCTCCTCTCCTGGCACTCGGGGCCTCCCGCCCCGGCCCGGGCAGGCCCTGCAGGCTGGGGTCCTATGTGGCATTGCTGGCTTCACCCTGAACCCAGAGTGGGCAGTCTCTCCTTGCCTGTCCTGGCCCTGTACCCCGCTTCTCACTGCCTAGCAAACTCCTCCTTGGCTGCTAGAACCCTTCAGCTGAAATCCTGCCTGCCAGCCCACGGCCCTGGGGGGCCCCTAGCTTTGCTCAGCCTCCTCTTTGCGGCCGTCAGAGCTCTGTCCAGCAGTCTGTCTGCGGTGCCTGTGGGACGTCCAGTCAGCAAGGCGGGCACTGGCCCCCCCGCCCCGCCCCGTCCAGGCCCGGGGAGTCCTGGCTGGTACGGCTGTCATCAGCCTGCCCTGGCTGCTGAGCCCACATGAGCAACAGTCCCCCCGCCCCGTCCCCCGCCAGCGCCCACAGAAGGTCGACTTCACCTCATCCATTTCCCCCAGGCTTTCAGCGTGGCCCTGGGTATACAGAGTGTTCTCGAATGCCCATCCACCCTAGGACGGGCAGCCTGTGCTGACCCATGGAGGCCAGTGACCCCCCCATCCTTACACTCCATCTGTGAGGCGTGAGTATGAGAGTTGTGCACAGAGATGGGGGGTGTCAGCCATATGGAGCAAGGCCACGGGGGGGTGATGTAGTTGGGAGGGGCAAGGCCATGCTGGTCCAGCGAGGACCTGGGCTGGGCCAGGCAATGCTGGGGGGGGGGAGCAGTGGGAGGCGTGGGCTCCGCGCGGCTTGTGGGATGGAGCTAACCTTCCGGGTCGGGAGCCAGGGCTGGGGGTTACGGGAGGCCCCCAGAGAGCCAAAGGAAGCCAAGAGATGGTGGAGAGTGCTCCTTCTTAGTTTGAGAAAATTTACCGTTGAGCCGAAAGGATTGGTGGATGGCCAAGTTTTGGCTGGTAGTTTCGTGGAAGGTTCTAGAAGTATGTGGTTCACCAAAATGGCCACTAGTTTTATGTGTGGCACTCAGTAGCCACATGGGGCAGGGGCAGGGCGCACTGAGCTAGTTGGCACGTCAGGATGTCTGGTCCAATGGTAGCATATCAAGACTGGACAGAGGTGTGGATGGGGGTTGTGGGGACTCAGCAGAGAAGAAAAGGTGGCGAGGACTTGGGGTGGCCTCCATGTCTCTCAAGGCGAGAAGCCCAGGGGCTGGGGCATCTCCCTGGGGTGCGTCAGACCCCTGCCCCAAGTCTGGAGAGGCTGGAGCAGGAGAGTAGGGGCTTCCAACACCGAGGTTTGATGAGTGAAAAACCGACCACAGAGCAGGGGCTAGTGTGACTGGGGAGGGGGAGGGGAGGTGGGGGAGGCAGGGTCTGGGTGAAGGATGGGGCCTGGGCTGTCCTAGACCTGCCCAGTGATTCCCCTGGTAGTTCCCCCTCCCTCCCTCCCACCCTTCCACCCCCGCCCCCCCCCATGACTGGGACCCTTGAAGGACACTTGTCCTTAGCCTGGCTCAGCACCTGGTGCCTGGCAGTGAGGCAGGGCTGGGTGGCATGCTCTAGGCAGGTGCAGGGCACTAGTCAAGGCTGGAATGTGGAACCCCCGGTCCCCAGAGCCAGCAGCACCCGGCTGGATGTACAGGGGGGCTGAGATTGTTTTTGGCTTCATGAACCAGAGCACAAATCCCTAGACCTCTGCGGGTGGGGGATGGGACAGTGAGCAGTGCTGGGCTGCGCCTGCTGGATCTGGAGCGCCCACAGTGCCATTCACACACAGGGTCCCACGTGTGTGCAAACGTGTGTGTAAGTGGGTAGGTACATGGTCAGCCAGCACGTGTGTGTAAATGCATGCTCCCCGTGTGCAGCTCCAGCCCTGGGAGCCGGGCAGGTGGCAGGCACCTGGGTGGAGCTTTTTAATCCTCCTTAACTTGGAGTTATTTTGAGCTAGAGATTAACGCTGATTTCAAGCATGCCAAGTGGCCACACCTCCCAGGAGTGGGGCTGGGCTCGGGCACCCCCTTCCGGAGGCTGGAATCCCAGGGCCGGATGGGCCATCTCCACGGTGTGAGCAATGATAGGGGCAGTGGAGACAGAGGCAGCCCGCCAGACCTTACCAGGCCCCTCTCAAATGTGGCTTTCATTATGTGATCCAGAACACCCCATTCTTACGCTGGCCCGAGTTTGGGATGCAGGCCCGAGTTTGCCCCATCCACAGGGCCCTGTAGCTGGCAGGCGCGGCTGCAGCCTCTCTCTCCCCCTGGCTCTGGTCTCTCCCCTCTCTTTAAATCAGAAGCAGTCTTCCCCGGGAGCCAGATCAGAATTGTTCTTTATGAAGTTTCCAAAGGAGGGAAAATCCATTCCCCATCATTATATTTTTTCTCCTAATTTGAGCCGTCTCAGTGCGGACTAGTTACAGACGTCAATATGGTGAAATACACCCGGCTGGCTGCCAGCCAGGCCGGGGAGCAGTCAGTGGCGGAGGCCGCAGTAAATCCAGATATTAACAAGCAAGCCCACCCGCCCTTCATCCTGCTGGCTACCTATGCCAGGACTGGAGAGGAGCCGAGCCCAGGCATGGAGCGCTGCCAGGCTCTGGGCAGCCCCTGTAGCTGATCCTCCCCAGGAGGGCAGCCTGGGTCCATGCAGGGGCGCAGATGAGACTCCATGGCCCCTTCCCTCGTTGGCTGAGTGGCTTTAGGTCTCTCAGTTTCCTAGTTGGTTCAGGGCTGTGTTTCGCAGCCGTGACTCCATGCTGTGGCAGGACTCGGCCATGCGGGGATATCATGTCCACCCTGCGAGCTAGGACGTGGACACGGGTACCTGGGGCTCCTTGGGTCATCTCAGCCCACCCCCACCCACCCTGTGCCATGCTCCGAGGTCTCTGTTCCAGTTTCCGCTGTTTTACAGCCACTTTTCCCCGGGCGAAGGATGTAGCCTCCGTGGCTGCCGCCACGGTGTGTGTGACCTGTGGTCGTGGTCTCTGTGGGCGTGGCCTGGCTGGGTGTGGTAGTGGTGGGTGTGGTCTTGACGGTGCGGCTCCAATGGACGAGGGCTCACTGGGTATGGGTTCAGTGGGTGTGGCTCCCGATGGGCGCGGCTTCGTGGCCTTGGTGGGCGTGGCTATGGTGGGTGTGGTTTCTGTGGATGAGCTCACTGGGTCTGGCTCTGGTGGGCGTGGTCTGGCTGGGTATGGTGGTGGTGGGTGTGGTCTTGACGGCGTGGCTCCAATGGACGAGGGCTCACTGGGTATGGGTTCAGTGGGTGTGGCCCCCATGGGCGCGGCTTCGTGGCCTTGGTGGGCGTGGCTATGGTGGGTGTGGTTTCTGTGGATGAGCTCTCACTGAGTCTGGCTCCGGTGGGCGTGGTTTCGGTGGGCGTGGCTTCACGACCTGCTTTTTTTCTCTTTTGTCTTGCAGCAGGGACCCTCCAGAGCCGCCCCATCGCGGAGCAGAGCCACCAGGGCCCCCAGGCCCATGGGGCGGGAAGCCGAGGTCCCCACAGCACCGGGGCAGAAGATGACGGGCTGCGCGCTGTGAGGGAGCCGCCCTCCCTCCTTGCGCCTGCGGCCATGCGGCTTGGGACAGGACACCCCTGAGAGTTGGGGCAGCTCCCCGTCCCGCCTCTCCGGCCCCTCCCGACCCCTCATCCTCCCCCTCCCCCTTGAGCAGGGCGGTCCCCATGGCCGGGTGCGGGTGGAGCGTGCTGTGGGCGTGCGTGGCGGCCGCCACGCTGCTGCACGCGGGGGGCCTGGCGCGGGGCGACTGCTGGCTGATTGAGGGCGACAAGGGCTTCGTGTGGCTGGCCATCTGCAGTCAGAACCAGCCTCCGTACGAGGCCATCCCGCAGCAGATCAACCACACCATCGTGGACCTGCGGCTGAACGAGAACCGGATTCGCAGCGTGCAGTTCGCGTCGCTGAGCCGCTTCGGGAACCTGACTTACCTCAACCTCACCAAGAACGAGATCGGCTACGTGGAGGACGGCGCCTTCTCGGGCCAGTTCAACCTGCAGGTGCTGCAGCTGGGCTACAACCGGCTGCGCAACCTCACGGAGGGTATGCTGCGCGGCCTCAGCAAGCTGGAGTACCTGTACCTGCAGGCCAACCTCATCGAGGTGGTCATGGCCAGTGCCTTCTGGGAATGCCCCAACCTCGTCAACATCGACCTCTCCATGAACCGCATCCAGCAGCTGGGCAGCGGCACCTTCGCCGGCCTGGCCAAGCTGTCTGTGTGCGAGCTGTACAGCAACCCCTTCTACTGCTCCTGCGAGCTGCTGGGCTTCCTGCGCTGGCTGGCCGCCTTCACCAACGCCACCCACACACACGATCGGGTGCAGTGTGAGTCGCCGCCCGTCTATGCCGGCTACTTCCTGCTGGGCCAGGGTCGGCACGGCCACCGCAGCATCCTCAGCAAGCTGCAGTCTGTCTGTACTGATGACTCCTATGTGGCCGAGGTGGCCGTACCCCGCCTGAGCCTCGGGGGGCGCCCCCAGCCTGGACACTCTCCACCTCCACCGCCGCCACCGCCACCAGAGCCCAGTGAGGAGCCCTGCCCGGAGGAGGAGTGCTTCTCCGGGGATGGCACCACACCGCTGGTGGCCCTGCCCACCCTGGCCACCCAGGCGGAGGCCCGGCCCCTCATCAAAGTGAAGCAGTTGACCCAGAACTCGGCCACCATCACCGTGCAGCTGCCCAGCCCGTTCAACCGCATGTACACCCTGGAACATTTTAACAACAGCAAGTCGTCCACCGTGTCCAAGCTGACGCAGGCGCAGGAGGAGATCCGCCTCACCAACCTGTACACGCTCACCAACTACACCTACTGTGTGGTGTCCACCAGCTCCGGTACTCACCACAACCACACCTGCCTCACCATCTGCCTGCCCAAGCCTCCCAGCCCGCCCGGGCCCGTGCCCAGCCCCTCCACGGCCACGCATTACATCATGACCACACTGGGCTGCCTGTTCGGCATGCTGCTGGTCTTGGGGGTGGTCTACTACTGCCTGAGGAAGAGGAGGCGGCGCGAGGAGAAGCACAAGAAGGCTGCTGCGGCTGCCGCCGCCGGGAGCCTCAAGAAGAGCATCATCGAGCTCAAGTATGGGCCAGAGATGGAGGCACCCGGCCTGGCCCCGCTGGCTCAGGGCCCGCTGCTGGGCCCCGAGGCTGTGACCCGCATCCCCTACCTGCCCACGCCGGGCGGTGAGGTGGAGCAGTACAAGCTGGTGGAGAGCAGCGACACCCCCAAACCCAGCAAGGGCAACTATATGGAGGTACGCACCGGGGAGCCCCCAGAACGTCGGGACTGTGAGCTGGGCCGGCCAGGCCCCGACAGCCAGAGCTCTGTGGCCGAGATCTCCACCATCGCCAAAGAAGTGGACAAGGTGAACCAGATCATCAACAACTGCATCGATGCCCTCAAGTCCGAGGCCAGCGCCTTCCAGGGCGCCAAGGCCGGGCCTGTGGCCTCTGCTGAGCCGCAGCTGGTGCTGCTGGCCGAGCCACTGGCCCCCAAGCACAGCTTCCTGTCCCCCGTGTACAAGGAGGCCTTCGGTCACGGCCTGCAGCGACACCACAGCGTGGAGGCCGCGGGGCCCCCGAGGGCCAGCACCTCGTCCAGCGGCTCCACGCGCAGCCCTCGAGCCTTCCGCCCGGAGTCCACGGCCGCCACCGGCGCGCACAAGGCTGCGGTCAGCGAGGCCAAGTACATCGAGAAGAGCTCCCCGGTGCCTGACGCCATCCTCACTGTGACCCCCGCTGCCGCCACGCTGCGGGCCGAGGCCGAGAAGGGCCGCGCATTCGGCAGCGAGCACCGCC